TTCAACACTAGCATCAAAGAATGACAGTGCATTATGTGATCCGTCCTTGAGGTCAACCATCCTCTCCATCTCAAGGCACGTTCCGGTTCGATGCTTCGCACGTACCGGGGGACCGGATACCTTCGTAGGTCCTTAATTCGTGCACTGTACATAACTTCACTCCTCCCATTTTCGTTCAGCGGGGGGGTGTTGTTTCACGCTAGGATGTCGAATACATGTCTCACTTACCTACCGTTTGGCTCAAGGAAAACCAGGTGCGACTTGTTGGTAGTTCTCGGTCGTTTACCTGTAACTACAATTATGATGTCATGGCTCCGAGGTGAAGCAACTCCTATGCTCCAGCGCGGGTGACAGTGTGATCCAAACCTTGGGCCTCTCGAGCTCCTCTTATGACCGGGGCCAACGGCCGCTTCGCCGGGTTGACACCGCCCGCTTTGGAGGGGCCAAGTCAGAGTAGTCCACATCAGTTTGTTGAGCCGAAGATACCTGAGAGTCATGACATCCTGCTTAACAGGATAACATCAATAGGCAGATGCTAGCTAACCGAGAGTATATGTGTTAGCATATGTTAGCATGAGCAATGAAGACCGTGAGAAAATAGACCCAGAAGTTAAAGCGCTGCGGTTGGTGTTAAGATCTCAATAGTCCACGGGCACCTGGATCTTCAATAGACAGCATTTTTCAGCGAAAACAGGTCGTAATCAAACAAACGCATGTTCAAGGGTTGCCAACATGTGCTCAAAATCCATGGACTGGGAAAGACACTGTTTGGACGCCTGAAGATGCCGTTTGGACGCACACTTGTTTCTTTTTTGCTTTTTGTTGTCGGCCTCGTCACCACACAATTTTGCCGATTTCCAACTTGTCACAAAAAATGGTAGTCTTTCGAAAAGATGCCGTAACGGCTTTCTTCCTCAAAAGGCACTGACTTGTGTAGTCTCAAGGATCCAGGTATGTACTGTATGTCATTAAACATCATGAAACTTTTTAGGACAAGTGGACATCTGTGGATTCCCGCCATCACAGGGACATGAACATTCGCATGGCGGAGAACCGTCCGAATAAGTGCGCCCAACAGCCTGGAACCTGCCCGCAGGATGCCTATCAGTGCGCGTGTTGCATGGTGCCGTGCGACTCGTGCCGAAGCAGCTACCAATTTAGTTGCTCAGCTTAGCTTGGCCATGCGTAGAGGGCAGGGCGGAGTTTGGACCAGTTCTTTTTTGCGTCCTTTAGGTTGGGAACAATATGGAACAAAGATTGCTTGATTAGTCATGTGAGTATATATTTATAGCTGAAGAGCGTCAACAGTTCCAAAGAGGGGACCTTGGTTCAGGGAAGGTGAGCATCAAACCGAGTGGATGGGCATCAACACCAGATTGCTGAACGTTTGCATGGTATTTGCTTGCAGCTGAACTTGAAGTTAGATTCCCTCGATTGGTTCAAAACATGGTTGGTTCCCCACTAGCATCCGCGCCTCATCGATTGGACGACCAGCAGGGAATGGTTCACAGATTGAATGACGGCCCTCTTGAGCGAAAAAACCCGAGAGTCATCGAGAGTATGATGTCCCCAGCGCCACCCCTTGGCTTGAGGTGACATTACCAGCGTTAGTTCTTTGCAGAGTACAGTTCAAGGCCTGGAGGGGGGTGGGGGCACCTTGTTTTTTGGTGGCAGAACTCACCTTTGATTTGGCCCAGACAAAGGCTATACCGGATATCTCCGAAAACCCTTCGTAGGGCATGACGCCGGACGCGATTCTGCAGTCAGCTGGGACTCCTTGGAGCACGTCGCACCTTCGCCAGGGAAGATGGAGGAGCTGAGGGGCTCAGTGAGCGCAGGGAGCTTGTTCAGCCCAGCGGGGAACAATGGGGATGTCTTCACCAACATGTGGCAAGAAGCCACCAAGCGCCTCGGAATCGAACGTTCCAAGACTTGGTCATGCAGCAGGGGAGCCTCAAGAACCGTCTTCGGCGGCGTTGCATAAGGTTTCTTTGTTCTTCATCCCGCTTGGAGTGTTTTTCATGTTCTTTCCGCTTGAAGTTGGGTGGTTTGGGGTTGGGAGAGTTGAGCGGCCCACTGACCAGCTGGTTCTTTGCAACCCATTGACCAGCAGGTTGCGCTAGTCCGTACAGCTACAGTACAGATCAGTACAGCCCCTGCGCTGTGAAGGCCGAAGGCCGCACCTTTTGACATATTTTGGCCACTAGCTGAGGTACTTCAACCCAGTGTGCTTACCAGATTGCAACACCAACTTCGACACCGCCAACAGCCACAAGCTCAGAGACCGTTGGCCATTATCACAAGATGCCGATCGAAAGATCCGGGTGCCATGGAAAGTATGGAAAGCTGGTAAGGTGAAGATATGCCAGGGCCCTAAGGGGTACGGGGTGTCCGTCAACCACCCCAAACAGGGCCCTGGTAGATAAACACATTGTAAAACAAACCCCGACTGCAGGTCGTTTTGTGGTTCCCTCATTCCTGTGGTCGTTTTGGCGAGGGTCGTTGTGAAGTCGAGTCCCCCACAGGTAGCACCAGCGCCCGATCCTGGACTTACGAGATGGCGGCAGACAACCCACTGGCGACCTACTGGGAGCCTTGGAGCATTTATTTTCTACATGGTCCGTGCGAAGCGGGAGGATACGAGAACGGAACATCAGTGAAATTGAAATCAGGCAGTTTTTGTCCGAGAGGCATCTTACAAATCGATGTGCAAAACCGACTTGGTCAATTTGGGAGGTTTCTCAAATCTGTTCAACTGGCATTCTAGGTTCTTGATGAGTTGATCCATCCAGTCAATCCCTTTGATCCTTTGATTGACTAAGGAGATGCTGAAGACCAGCGGCGCCTTGCAGGAGCTCCTCCTTCATGTTGGGACATGAACTGAACACATGTTCATACGGGGCCTGGCTGGTTGGAACCCGTATCTATATGTATCTAATATATATATATATGCATCTATTCTACAATCCAGTGTTACCTGCTGCATGTTTTGATCAACGACGCCCTCCGTCCGTCCAAGCAAGAAGAAGCACCGTGCGCCAGCGCGCACGACACCGAGAGGCTACGATCAATGACCAGTTCACCTTCAAGGCACTGCCCTTGTCGTGGCTTGGACTGGGGAGCCTCGAAGGTCGAACCACGCAGGTGCAGATGAAACGAACACTTCGGGGCAGAGGCGCCAGTGGTTGTGTAGATGATATCATTCAGGGCAGGATGCCACCCAGAAGGTTGTAATACCTTGCGGGTATCAACAGGAGGGCAGGGATAGGCAGAGACAGACAGAGACGGAGAGCAGAGAAACTGGCGGATAGATGCACAGTCATGCTGAAAGGGTACCTCCACTCCTACACGCTGCTTGCCAAGAGCAGCTAGTGAAAAGGGCAGTCTCAAAGGCACGGCAGACATTGATTGACTATTGTTCATCTCAATAATTACAGTAGGTTAGAATCCATGTTTCTGGAAAGAAGAAAGCATGAGCAAGTAAGACTGGATATTACTTTTTGCATTCTCCTCCATCCCACCACCTCACGATGGTTATTGATGGATGGTTCTTTAGCAAAACCGCATGCCTGCCACACCCCCGCAACAAAAGGCAGCTTCAACAATGATGGAAGTGGAAAATGGCACCTGGAAGGACACATGTCCTATACCTTTCCTTTACAAAAAGAGAATTGTCCACTTCCATGTTTGCTGGACAGTGGGTGGTCCCCAGACTGGTCGGTGTTCGTAGCCGGTACCGCGCCTCCACCCCTCCACCTGAGGCATTGCCCCTACGGGCCCTCAAAGTGTGTCCCGATGCCGGGCGTGGAGTTCAACGCAGAGCCCTTGAGCCACCTGGATTCGGTTGCGTCGCTTTTTGGATCAGCTGATCAGTTTCTTCAATTGCGTTAAAGGATGTCGAATAGCTATATGACGGCGTGACTTGAAAAGGCATGGGAACCTTCCAAGAAACGGGCCAAGTGGACTGGACATGATTCATCCATGCAATTGTTATATGATGTGCACGAATTGTTCATGACCTGTGCACGAATTGTTCATGGAATGGAACCCCCATCATAAAACCATTCTAATTAGTACTTTTCAAGCACTGTTTCAAGCCACCACAGCCTCCCAAGACGTCCATCCATCCAGACTATTGCTCCTTCAAGATGTCCTCGGACGTCATCAGTGCGATCGGAAGCGGTGCGGCCTCCACGCTGGTCCCTGGGTTGATGGAAATGCGGGGCGGTGGGCTGGTTGACTCAGTGACTCGATGCCTCATTCAAGATCTGCGAGCTGCCGAAGGTGATGTTTTCCCCTCTATCTGCAAATCAGCGGCAATGTTTGAGTTTGGGGCAGCTTTATATAAGCCAGGGTGCTGGTAAACTTGAGCCATGGAGGCCCCCCCGGTGACAGAAGACATGCTTTTCGGGAGCTGCCTTGCTTTGTATTCCTTGCTTGTCAGACCTTGGCGAAGCAATCGCATCCAATAGTCACCATGTCCAATTCCGCCATGTCGCTCAGCGAGGAAAACTTGGGGAGCGCAGTCTTTACTGAGAGCGCATCTTGGGAGCAGTCATTTGTGTGTAGCCTCCATGTTCCAAGAAGGCTTTCAATCTCTAATCATCAAGTGCCTATCTTTGTGCACCTGAGAGGGCCAGGTGACACCCAGTACGCTGTGCCAAGGAGACGTTTGGAAAGCTCGTGGGCGACTTCGAAAGGGCCATTGATGCCTTCTTGCTGACGGCCTTTTGCTGCTTCATTATTGGATGCTTGCGCAATTTAACTTGTGTTGACAAGTACAGTAGATAATGCGGCTTACTCTGTTAGTTTTATTGATGCTGTCAAAAGGCACGACTGATGATGTCTATATAATTCCAAACGGACTCGAAGCCTATGATGCAAGCGCACATTGTTTGCCTCACAGTCTGCTCCGCGGTTCATGCATGCCCATCTCAGAGCTTTCTGGGACCTACACATCCGAACTCCAGCGGATTGAGGCTCCACTCTGTAATTATCTAATGGTTCAGCATTCACCTGCATGCCAAGGATTTATCTACATTGTCCTCCTCCGGTTCCTGATTGGCCCCTGCGTTTGGTGCGCTGTCCTGTTGGTGCAACTCTCTTTGATCCTTGGGGGCGCGGCCTGCTACATCAAGAGCTTCCAATGTGCTGGCCACGGACTTAGCATGAAAGCAGTGACAAAACAAAGGCTACTACAAAGGCTGACTGCGGCGTTCAAGGACACAAAGACCCGCACTCACATTCTTCCGGCATCTCCCAGGCAGGTTGATGCTTCTCGTTAAGACCGTTGAGACATGGCCCCAAAGTTTTTGCAGTAGCATGGAGTAGAGCCGTCCATGTTGTGACGATGAGCTGATAAGAAGACCAAAGGAATCCCAACACCCACTGCGTCGCTGTCTCTTTGACATGTGAAGGCCCGTTGTGCTCCAGGGTATGTTTTGGAGGTCTCGCCTGTTGCAATCTCGAGGTTCCAGCATTTTTGAGACTGGCCAGTGGGGATGCTCAGGAAGTATCTATAATATATCTAAGGGTCCGAAGGGCATCGAGCAGGGCTGTAGCGCCTGGATAGTTTCCCTTTGAGCTTAAAATCTCTTTGTGACCGGCTGATGCTGCAGACTGGATGCTATGCAGTGCGTGTTGACTTGATGGACACTCGCCAAACGTGAGGGCTGAGCTTGTGTTCCTGAATTGACGAGTGCTGTGGTGCTTTTTCCGAAAGGCCCCATCCACAGAGGCAACTACTCCCAAACTTCCTGGAGAGACCTGAAGAGAAACCGTTTGGAACAGCATGGAACCAAAAACCTGGGTGAAACATGGTGAAATGGATATACTTGGATCCCGTTTCTGTTCAGGTTCCTTGCTTCACCATGTTTCACCTGTTTCAGTCTGAAGAACGACCGCCAGTCGTCACGGTTCTGCCGGGTCTCCGCCCGGTCGGGCCGCGCCCAGGCAAGTGGCGGTCGCCGTCACGGTCACAGTGCAGGTGGCGGCCACCAACGCGGCCACTGGCTCGGAGGTGGGGAAGCCGAAGGGTCGCTGTGAAGTAGACTTAGACGTACCATTATCCAACTTCATTGTGATGGTGGTTTGGTGACGATGGCGATGAAAGAAGAAACTGATGATGATGATGATGATGATGATGATCATCATCATCATCATCGGCAACATTGTTGTCATCATCACCACTATCACCGCCACCAGTAGCATCATTACATGTGATCACCATCGTCGCTTCCATCATCTCACCGCCATTACAAAAAATCATCGCCATCAAAGCCCGCTGATTGTAAGCCCATGTAAGCCCATATGCCCAGTTGCCCATGGGTTAGACTGTGTGCTCGATTCTACGTCCGGGTTGTGACTGTGCCTCGGGCCCTGAGGGTACCCGTTCCCCCGAAAAAGGATGCCGGTTCGAACGCAGACTTGCTAGTGAAACTGGCCACTTAGCTCGACATGTCGAGAGGCAACCAGGTAAGATCCTAGTCCGATGACCACGAGGATGAGGATGGTAGTCATGATGGATCATGATGGTGATGCTGATGAACATAGAGAGAACTGATAAGGACGTGACGCAGTCAGGGTGACGGTGGATGCATTTTACGCTTCGGTTTGCCACGGCGATGTTTCGAATATTCCAGTGCGTTTCCTCTCAGATAGCCTCTAAACTAAACATAGCCCTGTGGTGATGGTGTTGAAGATGACGGTGATGCTTACGGCGATTATTACGGTCCGAATTACGGTAATCTAATCATCTAATCATTACTTTTTGTTGGGATGGTGTTGGTGATCTCCCTGATGATGTTGATGATGGCCATGATGTGCAAACACTTCCGCACAAATGCATCCGGCCACAGTCGTTCCGGGGCGAGCTGGATCGAACACAGACCGGGAGACCTGTTGAGCAACTTCAGACGGACATGGGTTTGGAGGGTGTCCGACTATATTGTGCATTTGTGGGTCTATAGTCTTGAAGGATTTGCAAGGTGTAGCTGATAGGATCTGCTAGGTTTTGGCTTTTAGTCCTGGATCATGGATAGCATGATATTTGTCATGGCCGAAAGGCCACCAGCGAAGCTCTCACGGGAGATGGGGCAGATTACGGAGGCGCGCGAGGGGCGAGGGGCGGGTTCGGCAGATGAGTGCAGATGTCATCTCCATTCAGACGACGAAGTTGGTGGGGAAGTTCTTTTAGCTCAATTTCAGCTCAAATCCTTGGGTGTCAGTGTTTCGGTTCCTTGGTGCAAATGTTGTTTTGTCAGGGTCTGGAGCCCCCATTAACGGAGACTATCCGGCCAATCCAATCAATCATTTGATGGCTGATGTGCTTCCCTCACTCCTTTTGCTAGCTGCTATCCTTCACTTGCTGCCATGCCTGGTTCAGATTATATAGTGCACTCCGCCAAACAAATTAACATACTTGTATGTTTGTGAAATCATTGAGGTATCCACAACCTCTCTTCCGCCAGGCGTCCAGTACCGCACAAAGAGCGGTTACGCCTGTGAGACCTGGGGTTCGGGCGTGGCCTCCAGTTACACGAACCCGCCTTACACCACGCTGGCTGGAGCCCAGAACTACTGCCGCAACCCGTATGTGGCCGCTCGATTGGTGTGGTCGAATGCAAGGGGTGCATTTTTGGGCTGGGAGGAGTGGCTCGGCACTGGTGCGATGGGAAAGGGGATGAAAGGGGAGATTTGGAACCTTTTGGAAACGGGCTCAGGTTCATGGGGAATCTCATGCAGTCATATACTATTTTCTTAATCCTTGAGGTTCGCAAGTAGGCATGTTGTGCATTGTGGCGTCCAAGATTGTCCAAGGGGAAGAAGACTAGCACAGATCCAAGAGAATGACTATGTTTAAGGTCTTCCATGGTCTTTCATACTCTCCCTGCTGTTTTTATCGCAAGCAGAGGGTCGATCAGAACTGAACCACGCAACTATAATTCAGCTCAGTGTCTTGTGATTTTGTTATTCTTGCGGGGCAGGGTTTCTCTCCAGGAGCATGTTCCCCAGGAAAGCTTTGTCTGGAAGGCGGGTTTTCCCTTACAGGGCGCATTCCTTTGGCTTCCGCGGCGGCCCCAGGCTACCCAGACCAACAAAGCGAGCACCATTTGGTGCTTCACCACGGATCCACAGACAAGGTTCCATTTCGTTGGACGCGTTGAAGCCGTGGGTCACCGCTTCATGACACGCACAAGCATCGATCGGAGGTAGGCCTTTTACCGGAGATCACTCTGATCACTCTTCATTGAAACAAAGATGCTTTTCAATTGTGCAATATACTTTGGGTCTTACTGGCCAAAACCTCTGCTCCTACAGATTGTATTGTATTCTTTTGTTGCGTTCGCTGCGTCCGTGCTCACACCTTCACGTGCCCAGCACAGACACTCCCAGATCTCCCAGCATCTAGCTTCCCTGCCCCGTCATCTCGCCAATTGCCGAAGGGATCACCGCCGGACCTCGGTCGCCAAACCTCCAGGTGGGAGGAGTGCACGCCGGTGGGCGTGATCCAGCCGGTGTGCGCCTCGGGGTACGCCGTCACCAGCGAGGAGGTCCGCAAGGTCTTAGAGATCGCAGGTGGGGGCGGATCGCAGGTGCGTGGAGGCGATCAAAACTGGAGGCTGAGAGGCTTTGGAAAACAAGTAAGTTCCATCAGCGGATGGACCTAAAAGGAATTTGCGACGTGTTGTTGATTTCTAAGAGTGGCTTTGGGTCGCCTCCCAGCCCTGAATGAAAAAAGGCTTCAGTCAGCAGACCAACGCATATTCGGCTCCCAGAGCGATCAGAAGGTCAGAAGGTGTCCACTTGACTAACTGGAGGCTGGGACACTTCAGAGAGGTTATGACGCCATCACATGCCATCACATCATTTTTGGTGTGTTCGAAAACCTCCTGGTTCGGGGAAAACTCTGTGCTTCCTTTGCGATCGGTGTTGCTGCGGTTTGGTTTGTATCGTTGGGTCGCCCATTCTCAGCCAAGTAAGTACATCAAATCAGACCAACAAGAGAGCTTGATTCTGCGCTTGTTTGTGCTTTTGCTGACCTTAATTATTGATCAGACTTTGACATTGATCACTATACTGCTGTGTGATGCTTTTGACCTGCTAAAAGTAATTGATCTAAACAGGCGCCGCCCCCACATATGGGTGTGACGTCGTGTGTGACGTGTTTGGCAGGTTATGTGGTTTGGGGCTTTGCCTTCATTTACTGGCTCTTGGTTTGTTGCTTCTTCGATCGGATCCAGCTGGCCATTGCCGTGAACAAAGTGGCCGCCACCTTCGTGCGCCTCGGCGGCCAACGGCCGACGGCCATCGCCACCCACGGCCAAACGGCCCGTGATGTTCGGAGGTGGTGTTGCAGACATCGGCGGTGGTGTTTCATGCAGGGTGTCGGGCGCACCAATTTCAGGGACTGCAGTTGGGTTCAACTCCTGTGCCCCCAGGGGTTTTTCGGTTTTTCACCTGCATCATCGGACCGCCCTGTCGGTGCCGCAGTCTCCAAGGCGTCACCGTCGAGTTGGCGTCGGTCTCGCTCTCAGGTCCCACACCATGCGCATCATTGGGGTGCCCATCGTTCAAGCAGTGGTGGGGATCCTATGGATCCTCTTGTGGGGCGTTTCAGTGAGCTTCCTCGTCTCACAGGTGCCGAGGACTTCTTCCAACGGGTCCGACGTCACTCGTGGCGAGTAGTTGCTGGGAGGAAGCGAATGCGGGAGCTGGAAGTGGTGAGCGTGGCGCTTTGGGGCACGAAATAAGAAGGTCACGGTCCGTGTTTTTCGGTACGGCGGGTTTCGATGAAGGCCTGTCCTGATATTGTTTATTGACTTTTGCGTTTTTTTCCAAATTGTGACGTCAAATCGATATATGAAAAGCGTGCGATAATTCTGCCTGCCAATTTGGTAGTGTTATTGCAAGAATTTGAGGGTCGTTGTTTGTTTGGGACCCTGAATGCAGACAGAACTGAGCTTGCTCACTTCCCCATGCGCAAGCACAGAACAACCTGTACAAAAGCAGGCGCAGAACCACTCACCTGCCCACAGCCTGAAGCAACTTCCCCCACGCACCAGGGTGTTGTTGGCACTCATAACAAACGTCACCACCTTGGCCCCTCCCCCACCCACAACAAGCAGCAGCACTAGGTATGATGCAGCAAGCGGCAGGGCAGTACTTGTAGGTGTCGGATATGGCCCCCTCCCCAAGAGGGAAAACACAACACGCACACATGCACACACGGGACTGTTAGATGTACAGTCAGCACAAACCAAGTAACAGACGATAGAGCCAAGGCATCAATGGAGGACAGTCTGAGAATGCTCACCAGTCACCGAAACAGAAGGAAATTTGTTAACAGCAGTAGGGCATGCAATTTCTTCTTGATCTGCTTGCTGATGTGCCAACGAAACTGACGAAACTTGCCGGTTGGATGCTTCGCCACCTTTAACAGGGTTTTTGATGGTACTATCATGTACTACCAGCAGATGCTCCGAAGTGCTGCTGAGACTACACCAGAAGACCAACAGCCTCATAGCTGTCCAATCAGGTAACGGCAATTCCCACGCACCGCCGATTCCGCCTCGCGACAACAACAGCCCGCACCACTTGCCCCCAGGGAGAAATAGAATGATTATGGACAATCAACTTCAACAATGATGATTTATGTTTTGACTCTTTTGGAACTGTACTGTGCATTTTTAGGGGTCCACATGGATATATATATATATATTTAGAGCTTACTATCACTATAATAATTGCTCTATTTTTGGGAGATGATTGAGTGCGTTGGAGTACCGACCCCCTCGAACTTGTACATTTTTGAGGGGGTCCACATTATATCCATGTGCAGGATGCATTTTCCGACCTCCTTGGAATCGTACATGTCTCAGGGAGTCCAAATTATATCCAACAATGCCTCCACATGGCTATAATTTGGACCCTTCAAAGCTTTCAGTTTGAAGGAGGTGGCAAATAGAATATGAGTGTGAACACCCAGTGATTGTGCAATAAGCTGTGCAATTGCCACCAGCTGATGACATGATGCAATATGATGCAATAATGTTTCTTTTTTTTGAGAGGAGTCGTTTGTTTGGCTTTCATAGACCTGGTGATGCAAATTGCACGATAATGAGAAATATAGTCAGAACTATATGATATGTGAAAATGATGTGTTTTTCATGCGGTCTCCCGCCCCCCACGCCTCTCCCGGACACACCTCTTGATGCAGGATATGCATTTTCGTTCCGGATACGCATTTTCCTTCCCCCATTGCACCTTCGGTGCGGGTGGATTTGAACACCTTCTGCAACTGCGGCGCACTTGCCAGGTGCCAGCGGACTACACCCCCACAGGTGCCTACACGACCTACCTTGAGGCTTATGGTTCGACGAACACCACCGGCGCTTGTACAGACAAGTGGCCCACCGGCTCTGTATACAAGGACGAGGACAACTGCAGCTTGGCAGTGTCATCGTGGCGGGATATGGCGGCAGTGGAAGGAGTGAGTGACGCCAGAGGAAGGCTACAGTCGTGCACGCCTTGCAATAACAAGACTATTAATATATATATATATATATACATATTTCTTTCGAGAACACATGTTTGTTTACTGAAGAGTTTGGGGACTTCAGGAGGTGCCTCTCAGTGTGTCCTTCAATGGTCAAGAAAACTTCGATGAGTCACTGACACTGACTCTGGAGCCGGCTGCGCTCGATCAGGGGGAGAGAGAGGGACAGAGAGAGAGAGAGAGAGAGAGCGCGAGAAAGTGTTAGTTAGAGAGGTTTTTCCTTTCAGCATTTTGTCGTGCAACCCATTGAATTGCACTAAATCTTGATATTTGGATTGGTGGAGTGGGGAGCAATAGATGGAGATGCCGACCTACTGTGCCTCGTGCACCATTCTGCCCCTGGGAATACCTGATATATATATATATATATAAATACATAGAGAGAGAGAGATAGTGAGAGAGAGGGACATTGAAATGCACAAACGTCAATGCTTTTTGTGGCCCAAGGGTGCTGGACTTTGACAATCGTTTCAGACTTGGCTATTCTGATCCATAACAAGTGCCTTACTAGTAGTAACAAGAAGCTAGTAGTAACAGGTGCCACGC